CATCCCATATTTACATAATTCATTTTATTGAAAACGTGAGCTTGAATGTATGTTGTGCTTTCTTGTGTTGTTGACGTATTCTTTATTTACGTAGTTCATTTTATTGGAACGTGAGCTTGAATGTGTGTTGTACTGTCCTGTGTAGTAGACGTATACCATATTTACATGGTTCATTTTATTTGAACGAGAGCTTGAATGTGTGTTATATTGTCTTTGTAGTAGACGTATCTTTTATTTATATAGTTTATTTTATTGAAATGTGATCTTGAATGTGCGTTATATTGTCTTGTGTAGTAGACGCATCTCTTATTTACATAGTTCGTTTCATTGAAACGTGACCTTGAATGTTTGTTATATTGTCTTGTGTAGTAGACGTATCTTTTATCTATATAGTTTATTTTATTGAAACGTGATCTTGAATGTGCGTTATATTGTCTTGTGTAGTAGACGCATCTCTTAATTACATGGTTCATTTTATTGAAACGTGAGTTTGAATGTGTGTTATATTGTCTTGTGTAGTAGACGTATCTTTTATTTATATAGTTTATTTTATTGAAACGTGATCTTGAATGTGCGTTATATTGTCTTGTGTAGTAGACGCATCTCTTATTTACATAGTTCGTTTCATTGAAACGTAACCTTGAATGTTTGTTATATTGTCTTGTGTAGTAGACGTATCTTTTATTTATATAGTTTATTTTGTTGAAACGTGATATTGAATGTGCGATATATTGTCTTGTATAGTAGACGCATCTCTTATTTACATAGTTCGTTTCATTGAAACGTGACCTTGAATGTGTGTTATATTGTCTTGTGTAGTAGACGTATACTTTATTTACATAGTTCAATTTATTGAAGCGTGACCTTGAATGTATGTTATTTTGTCTTTCGTAGTAGACTCACCAATATTTTCATAGTTCATTTTAATGTAACGTGAACTTGAATGTGCGGTATATTGTTATGTGTAGTAGACGCATCCCCTATTTGCATGGTTCATTTTATTGGAACGTGATATTGAATATGCGTTATATTGTCTTGT